AACTTCGTTGCCAATTTCAGTGCGTGCGTCAATTGATCCGTCGACCTGTCTGCCTTCCGAACTCTCGCGAAGCAACGCGCTAACTCCAGCGTGTCGAGGAGGCGACACGTGTACGTGTGGTGGTGGTGTGTGTGTGGGGCGTGTGTTCGTGCCGATGTTTGCACGTGCATGCTTGTGTGTTTCTGCATGGCGGGGCGTGTGCGTGGTCGTGTTGAGTGGTGTGTGCGTGGGGTGTGTGCTGAGTCCGTGGTATGCGCGTAGTCTTGTGGTCCATATGTGGTATCGTGCGTGGTGGTGGTGTGCGTTAGAACTGTAGTGTAGCTACGCCCTGCAAAGTGTGTTGTGTGGGTACACGTTGGTATGCAGTCTACGACAGAAGAGACATATGCAAGTATCGAGACGACAGAGCTAATCACCATCTCTCCCCGCTCTCCACACTCTCCCTATTCTCTTCTTTCTCCCCCGAACTCTCCGCTCTCTCTCTCTCTGAGCTCTCTCTCCACCCTCCTCCTCTTTTCTCTCCATTCTCTCTCCTCTCCCCTCTCTCTCTCCGCAAATTTCAGCTGCGTCACGACGCGGAGAGATCCGCAGTCACGAGACCCAGAAGCCCCCCTCCCACCCCCCGCCTTCATCCCCCGCTCCCCCTTCTCATCCATCCCGGAATGGCCCTTGTGAAGGTGCCCCCCCCCCCGTGCCTGCCTGCACCGCCCCCCTATTATTAATAGCGCGTCTCCCGCCCCCCCCCCTCTTCTCCGCAGCACCCCCCCCCCCCGCGCCGCTTTAATTGTGGATGCAGAGGAGGGGACCTATCATGCGGTGAGAACACGGCACGCACGCACGGGCGACACGCGCAGAGAAGACGGCACGGGCTGTTGGGGCAAGGGCTGTTAGCGAGCACCTATTGTGTGTGAAGAGCGGGCATGGCGACACAAGAGGAGAGGGTGCGGTGGAAAGTACCACGCCCAACCCGCCTTTGTCTCACCCCCACCCCCACAATGTTGTTTATACAGAGAGGCGAGTGCCCACATTGGCGTCATACGCACATGCACGCGTTGAAACACCTATTATTATACACATCCTCACGCACGCCCCTCGCACTCCTATACAAACCCACGCACGCCCAACCATACACACACCCAAAGCACACACGCACACTCACACACTCAAATACATCCACGCACACTCCTACATGTATACACACACACAAACACAACCAAACACGCACGCACACTCACACACTCAAATACATCCACGCACACTCCTACATGTATACACACACACAAACACACCCAAACACGCACGCACACTCACACACTCAAATACATCCACGCACACTCCTACATGTATACACACACACAAACACACCCAAACACGCACGCACACTCACACACTCAAATACATCCACGCACACTCCTACATGTATACACACAAACACTCCCAAACACGCACGCAGACAATAAACAGGGTAGGCGGGACCCACGTCAGTGCGACACGTGGTGACCACAACAAGAAACACACGCACCTTGCAACACGCAGAGACAACGACCCCCCCCCCCCTCCTGTACAGCCTGAACAGACTGTTGGGGAAAGTTACACCTACGGCACACAAGGGGGTTGGTGGCCAGCACCACGCCCGGCCGCCTTTGTCTTCCTAGTAGCGATGTTTATACACGCCACTGCACCAGGTGCTCATTTGAGGCCGAGTCGACATAGGGGAGGCCAAGGCCGTAATTATAATATATATTGGGACACACACCCCCCCCCCCAATATTCAAATATGTTCAAAATGCCCCCCCCCCCCCCAATATATTGCTATAAAATATATTTCTGTTTATATAATTGTGGTTATGCTTGTAATGTATTAATCCCTAATCTCTGCCATTACATACAATGAAACAAGAAAAGGTCAAAAAGAAAAAAAAGAGTAACGTAATACAATACACTATTAGACATTGTAAAAAATTAATAAAAAGTCCATCCTGTGTGTTAGTGAATTGTTTTTTCTATTTTAGGCAGGAAAATTCGTTTTAAAAATTAGACTTTTTTTCTGGGGGGGGACCCCAGACCCCCTAGAAGATTTGCTCCCCCCCAATGTTGACTCCATGGCTACGCGGCCTTGGGGGAGACCCAGGTACTGGTTCAGATAATCGTCACTTGGTGTTGGCCGTGAGCGGGAATCGAACCCGCGTGGCCAGGTTCGTAGCTCAGCACGCTCACCACTGCACCGCCGTAGACACAGACACACACGTGAACCTCAGGCAGCTCACGGAGATGCAATCTCCCTTTCAGAACCGAAACATTTAAACGCAGAACAAGCTCACAAAGCAATCATAAACACGTCCAGCACACACACACCGACCATAAACAACACTTTACACTGAGAGCGTGTTGTGTGAAGTGAGTTAACAGCACGCAGAGCTGCTGCACAGCTTAAAAACACACACATATCGGGCGAAGAAGCTAAAACAACATCCACACGCAGCGTTACCTACCGGTTGTGGTCAAACATTGCAATAGTGAGAAATCACCAGCAAGTTACTCAATTGGTATCTCACACACACAGCAGTAGTAGCAGCAACAATCTCACATCTCCCCCCCACGAAACTCATGCGAGAGCCTGGCAGGACCCTCCTAAAAATAGTGTTTGAGACTCAGTGAACAGGCAGAATGTCAACAAAGTGTGGTGCGGAGCTGTTGTGGTACGGGACATGCACAGTAACAACAACTCAACAACAACAATTCAACAACAACTTCACAACAGCAGCCGTGACACAGCCAAAAGCGGCACAATTCCACCACATGCGCTGTCGCACCAGAACTAACCAGCAGCAGGTCACACAGCCACGCAATTATGTAACAGCACAAGAGCAGAAGTCAACAGGAAATATAGCCGCGTAATCACCACGCAACAACAACTACCGATAACAGCATAACGGTATACAAACCACCACAAAATAACAAAACAGCATAGCACATACATAACACAGCATAACACGAAACAACACCAGCATAAACACATTACATAACACCAGCATAACACAAAACACAACACCAGCACCACACAACATAACACCAGCACCACACAAAACATAACACAGAATAACACAAAACACACACCAGCATAACACAAAACATACCAACATAACACACAACATAACACCAGCATAACACAAAACACAACACCAGCATAACACAAAATATAACACAAACATAACACAACACACAGCATAACACAAAACACAGCACCGGCATACACAAAATATAACACAAACATAACACAACACACAGCATAACACAAAACACAGCACCAGCATAACACAAAATATAACACAACATAACACAACACACAGCGTAACACAAACACAACACCAGCATAACAAAACACACACCACATAACACAAAACATAACACCAGGATAGCACGACAACCACACAAGACAACAATAACTGAGTAACTATTTGTGTCACGCTGTTGTGTGTCGTTGTGTTATTGTGTGGATGTTGTGTCATTGTCAATCCACTGCTGGATGAGGGCCTCCCCACACACCCTACGGGTTGTATGCGTTATATAACTATACTTCACCACGCTGGTCAATACACGCATATTCGGAGATTGATTACAGATGGGCACGCAGGTAACACTATCTAAGGTACAGAGATTGTATTTCACAAACACGCACAGTGTGCACGTGTGTGTACGCGCACACTGTTCTGTCTAACAACATAAGATGTCCTTATGACGACAAAAAAACTACACAACGGCCCTTTATGTACCCAGCAAAAAGCATCAATGAATCTCAAGACTCGTTTTCAAGAGGGTGCTGCCGCATTGCGATGCTTGGCCAATTCCATTCAGGAGTTTGGCTGTCATGTGCATTCTGGCTGCTTGATTTGACATCAAGGTAACGTTACACAATCACACACACACACAATTCACACGGTCAGCACAATCATATACAACGCAAACACCATCACCCTCACATCCACACAAAATCACACACACACATACACAATTACACACGCACGCAATATCATAAAACAAGTTATACTTGCACAAGGACGAAGATCATCCGTGTAACCTTAGCAGACTGTTGGGGCAAGTGCTGTTAGCGAGCACATACGAAGGCCGGCACGGCACACGAGGGAATGGGTGACCAGCACCACGCCCGACCGCCTTTGTCTCCCCAGTGGCGATGTTTACACACCGAACCAGGTACTCATTTAAGGCTGAGTCGACCTAGGGGAGGCCCAGGACCGGTTCAGATAATCGTCACCGGTGGTGTTAGCCGTGAGCGGGAATCGAACCCGGGTGGCCAGGTTCATAGCGCAGCGTAGCGCTAACCGCTACAACCACTGTTTGTGTAAGGGTGTGCACCCACGCACACCCTTACACAAACACACACACACGAATCCACACACACAGTCAAACATAAACACTGCCACACGGGGTACAGTTGCGAGTGTTGGGCACTGCCCTGGCGATGGAATTTGTGTTTTAAAAAAAGCCACTCGGCATACACAGCAACTCCACAACCACGGAGCGAGTTACATCCACCACTCTCACACCACCACCGATCACTAAACATCCCAACCACCACCACTACACTAACCACCACCACCATAATCAATAACACAATCATCACGAGCATCATAACGTCAACCACAACTACACCACCCCAACAATCACCACCCGCATCACCATCATATTCACGAACACCATCATCACTACTACCACCACCAACAACCATCAACCACCACCACCACCAACAACCATCAACCACACCACCACCACCACCCTCATCACCAACATATTCACAAACACCATCATCACTACTACCACCACCAACAACCATCAACCACACCTCCACCACCCTCATCACCAACATATTCACGAACACCATAATCACTACTACCACCACCATCATCATCATCAAGGAGCGAGATCGCTCACGAACTTCAAGTGTCACCGCGCGCAGGACACGCCTCGCTCGACCTTCTCACCTGGACGGGAGCAGAGTCGAGTGCTGGGCAAGGGGTAGAAGGGAAGGGCAGGGAAGGGAGGGGCAGGGGAGGGCAGGGAAGGGAGGGGAAGGGCAGGGAAGGGAAGGGCAGGGAAGCACCGGGCAGGGCAGGGCAGCCCCCACCTCGCCGTGACCCGCACTCCGCGTCGAGAGCGAGTTGGTGAGTGAACTCCGCGCCTAGCCGCGTCCGCCGGGAGTAACTCTCCCCGGGCAAAACCGCTTCTCAATGCCCCCCTCCTCCTGCTCCTCCATCATCACCAGCGTCCGTGGGCATCGTCGTCTTGCGCTGTATCCCCTGCATCTCGCGGGGTCCCAAGGGGAGCTGCTCCAGGGGAAATGTGCGAGCGTGGAGAGTGTCAAGCTCTTCTCCCGCGTCTCTCACGCCCGCAGAGAGGAGGAGGAGGGAGAGGCCCGGAGGGAGGAGCGAGGAGGAGGAAGACGCCACCCTCTCGACTGAGTTTCCCCCCACTCTGCTGTGCACTTAACTCTCCATCATCACTAACTCCACCGTGCACTTACTCTCCATCATCACTAACTGCACTGTGCACTTAACTCTCCATCATCACTAACTGCCCCCCTCCACCATGCACTCAACTCTCCACCATCACTAACTCCACTCTCCACGTGCACTTAACTCTCCATCATCACTAACTCCACTCTCCACCGTGCACTCAACTCTCCATCATCACTAACTCCACTCTCCACCGTGCACTCAACTCTCCATCATCACTAACTGCACTCTCCACCGTGCACTCAACTCTCCATCATCACTAACTGCACCGTGCACTCAACTCTCCATCATCACTAACTGAACTCTCCACCGTGCACTTAACTCTCCATCATCACTAACTCCACTCCCCACCGTGAACTCAACTCTCCATCATCACTAACTCGACTCTCCACCGTCCACTCAACTCTCCATCATCACTAACTCCACTCTCCACCATGCACTCAACTCTCCATCACCACTAACTCCACTCCCCACCGTGCACTTAACTCTCCATCATCACTAACTGCACCGTGCACTCAACTCTGCATCATCACTAACTCCACTCTCCACCGTGCACTTAACTCTCCATCATCACTAACTCCACTCCCCACCGTGAACTCAACTCTCCATCATCACTAACTATGATCTCCACCGTGAACTCAACTCTCCACCATCACTAACTCCACTCTCCACCGTGAACTCAACTCTCCATCATCACTAACTCCACTCTCCACCGTGAACTCAACTCTCCATCATCACTAACTATGATCTCCACCGTGAACTCAACTCTCCATCACCACTAACTCCACTCTCCACCGTGAACTCAACTCTCCATCATCACTAACTCCACTCTCCACCGTCCACTCAACTCTCCATCATCACTAACTCCACTCCCCACCGTGAACTCAACTCTCCATCATCACTAACTCGACTCTCCACCGTCCACTCAACTCTCCATCATCACTAACTCCACTCCCCACCGTGAACTCAACTCTCCATCATCACTAACTCCACTCTCCACCATGCACTCAACTCTCCATCATCACTAACTCCACTCCACACCGTGCACTTAACTCTCCATCATCACTAACTGCACCGGCACTCAACTCTGCATCATCACTAACTCCACTCTCCACCGTGCACTTAACTCTCCATCATCACTAACTCCCACTCCCCACCGTGAACTCAACTCTCCATCATCACTAACTATGATCTCCACCGTGAACTCAACTCTCCACCATCACTAACTCCACTCTCCAACCGTGCACATTACTCTCCATCATCACTAACTCCACCGTGCACTCAACTCTCCACCATCACTAACTCCACTCTCCACCGTGAACTCAACTCTCCATCATCAATAACTCCACCGTGCACTCAACTCTCCACCATCACTAACTCCACTCTCCACCGTGAACTCAACTCTCCACCATCACTAACTCCACTCTCCACCGTGAACTCAACTCTCCACCATCACTAACTCCACCGTGCACTCAACTCTCCACCATCACTAACTCCACTCTCCACCGTGAACTCAACTCTCCACCATCACTAACTCCACTCTCCACCGTTGAACTCAACTCTCCATCATCACTAACTCCACTCTCCACCGTGAACTCACTCTCCATCATCACTACTCCACTCTCCACCGTGAACTCAACCTCCACCATCACTAACTCCACTCTCACCGTGAACGTCAACTCTCCACCATCACTAACTCCACTCTCCACCGTGAACCAACTCTCCACCATCACTAACTCCACTCTCCACCGTGAACTCAACTCTCCACCATCACTAACCTCCACTCTCCAACCGTGAACTCAACTCTCCATCATCACTAACTCCACTCTCCACCGTGAACTCAACCTCTCCACCATCACTAACTCCACTCTCCACCCGTGAACCTCAACTCTCCATCATCACTACCTCCACTCTCGCACCGTGAACTCAACTCTCCATCATCACTAACTCCATCTCCACCGTGAACTCAACTCTCCATCATCACTACTCCACTCTCCACCGTGAACTCACCTCCACCATCACTAATTCACCTCACCGTGAACTCAACCTCCACCATCACTAACTCCACTCTCCACCGTGAACTCAACTCTCCACCATCACTAACTCCACTCTCCACCGTGAACTCAACTCTCACCATCACTAACTCCACTCTCCACCGTGAACTCAACCTCCATCATCACTAACTCCACTCTCCACCGTGAACTCAACTCTCCACCATCACTAACTCCACTCTCCACCGTGAACTCAACTCTCCACCATCACTAATTCCACTCTCCACCGTGAACTCAACTCTCCACCATCACTAACTCCACTCTCCACCGTGAACTCAACTCTCCATCATCACTAACTCCACTCTCCACCGTGAACTCAACTCTCCATCATCACTAACTCCACTCTCCACCGTGAACTCAACTCTCCATCATCACTAACTCCACTCTCCACCGTGAACTCAACTCTCCACCATCACTAATTCCACTCTCCACCGTGAACTCAACTCTCCAACCATCACTAACTCCACTCTCCACCGTGAACTCAACTCTCCACCATCACTAACTCCACTCTCCACCGTGAACTCAACTCTCCACATCACTAACTCCACTCTCCACCGTGAACTCAACTCTCCATCATCACTAACTCCACTCTCCACCGTGAACTCAACTCTCCATCATCACTAACTCCACTCTCCACCGTGAACTCAACTCTCCACCATCATCACTAACTCCACTCTCCACCGTGAACTCAACTCTCCACCATCACTAATCCACTCTCCACCGTGAACTCAACTCTCCACCATCACTAACTCCACTCTCCACCGTGAACTCAACTCTCCACCATCACTAACTCCACTCTCCACCGTGAACTCAACTCTCCATCATCACTAACTCCACTCTCCACCGTGAACTCAACTCTCCACCATCACTAACTCCACTCTCCACCGTGAACTCAACTCTCCACCATCACTAACTCCACTCTCCACCGTGAACTCAACTCTCTCTCCATCACTAACTCCACTCTCCACCGTGAACTAACTCTCCACCATCACTAATTCCACTCTCCACCGTGAACTCAACTCTCCACCATCACTAACTCCACTCTCCACCGTGAACTCAACTCTCCACCATCACTAACTCCACTCCACCGTGAACTCAACTCTCCACCATCACTAACTCCACTCTCCACCGTGAACTCAACTCTCCACCATCACTAACTCCACTCTCCACCGTGAACTCAACTCTCCACCATCACTAACTCCACTCTCCACCGTGAACTCAACTCTCCACCATCACTAACTCCACTCTCCACCGTGAACTCAACTCTCCACCATCACTAACTCCACTCTCCACCGTGAACTCAACTCTCCACCATCACTAACTCCACTCTCCCCGTGAACTCAACTCTCCACCATCACTAACTCCACTCTCCACCGTGAACTCAACTCTCCATCATCACTAACTCCACTCTCCACCGTGAACTCAACTCTCCATCATCACTAACTCCACTCTCCACCGTGAACTCAACTCTCCACCATCACTAATCCACTCTCCACCGTGAACTCAACTCTCCACCATCACTAACTCCACTCTCCACCGTGAACTCAACTCTCCACCATCACTAACTCCCACTCTCCACCGTGAACTCACTCTCCATCATCACTAACTCCACTCTCCACCGTGAACTCAACTCTCCCCATCACTAACTCCACTCTCCACCGTGAACTCAACTCTCCACCATCACTAACTCCACTCTCCACCGTGAACTCAACTCTCCACCACCTAACTCCACTCTCCACCGTGAACTCAACTCTCCACCATCACTAACTCCACTCTCCACCGTGAACTCAACTCTCCATCATCACTAACTCCACTCTCCACCGTGAACTCAACTCTCCACCATCACTAACTCCACTCTCCACCGTGAACTCAACTCTCCACCATCACTAACTCCACTCTCCACCGTGAACTCAACTCTCCATCATCACTAACTCCACTCTCCACCGTGCACTGCAATGTACTCCCCCCTGCACGATATGCAATGGATCACCCCCCTTACTGAACATTGACCTTTCAGCACCCCCCTTACCTAACATTGACCTTTCAGCACCTCCCCCACCCCTTTCAACTCTTCACTACCTTCTTGCTGTATGCAACTCTCCACGTCGTACTCAACTCCTCAGTGTGCACTCTACCCTCTGTGCTGTACTTTGTGTACTCTCCACCAGCTTCCCTCTTGTCATCATCATTATCATCAGCGGCGGTGGTGGACAACTCTCCAACTCAACCACTCGACTCAATTAGGGATGGAGCTCTCCATCACCCTCTACTGGCAGAGCAATGGCCCAGAGTCCCAGACCGACAGCTCACCCCTGACCAAGCTCACTCTTGCAAACGACTCTCTCCTCCTGGACACTCGATTACTCTGTTAAACAAAATGAACTTAACACGACTCTCTCTCTCTGCCAGTAACACACCCCCCCCCCCCCCCCCCACGTGCACGTACCTCTGCACTTCTACTATCCAACCTTTCGTGCTGCACCCTCCACTGGACTCAGCTCGCCATCATGAACTCGACTCCCCACTCAAGCTACTGTACTCTCCACACTGTATGACACTGTACACACTGTACTCTGCACTGTACTCTCCACTGTACTCTCTCCACACTCACAACGCGACCCCTTCTGCACTCTCCGACAGCAAACCCAGCACAGTTATCTACTCTCTCCACCCTGTCCCTCTCCACCCTCCCTCTCCACCCTGTCCGCCCACTCTCCACCCACCCCCCAAACCTTTCTCACTCTCTACCCCTCTCTCTCACCCTCTCCACCCTGTCCCTCTCTCTCCACCCTCTCTCTCCACCCTGTCCGCTCACTCTCCACCCACCCACTCACCCACCCCCCAAACCTCTCACTCT